ACATTTGGTCAACTCCAGTGACTTCAGTTCTTCACAAACAGAAAACCCATCGTTAAACCATAGTGGAGACTTTTGGTGTTTATTGTTTTTGTTTTTGTGATGTTTTGTTTTGTTTAGACTGTGCCGCAATGGCACAAGATTTGTTCAGGAGGAATGTGACATTAAATGCAGCTTTGACTTCCTGGAGGAAGGGAGGTATAAAGGAACTGATTTGGTAAGGAGAGATAATTTTAGAGTTAGGGTGGCTTGCCTGCCTATGCTCTCTAATCACTGACAGGAAAAAAACAACAGTACATCTTGCTCAGCTGCTGTGAATACTTGGTGCCTTAGTACAGTCATTTCTTAAAAGCAAATTTCAAGAATATGGAATAGTTGGTGATATGGTTTGGATGTGTGTCCCCTCCAAAGCTCATGTTGAAATGCGATTCCCAGCCGGGTGCAGCGGCTCATGCCTATAATCCCAGCACTTTGGGAGGCCGAGGTGGGCAGATCACCTGAGGTCAGGAGTTCGAGACCTGTCTGGCTAACATGGCAAAACCCTGTCTCTACAAAAAAAATATATATATATATACACACACACACACACACATATATATATTTATATGTATGTAAATATATATATACACACACACACACAAAATTAGGTGGGTGAGGTTGGCACACGCCTGTAGTCCCAGCTACTTGGGAGGCTGAATCAGGAGAATCACTTGAACCCGGAGGTTGTAGTGAGCCGAGATGGCGCCACTGCACTCCAGCCTGGGTGACAGTGTGAGACTCTGTCACAAAAAGAAAAAAAAAAAAGAAATGTGATTCCCAATGTCGGAGATGGAACCTGGTAGGAAGTATTGGATCACCAGGGTGGATCCCTCATGAATGGCTTGGTGATCAGTGAGTTCTCAGTTCATGCAAGATCTGGTTGTTTAAAAGTGTCTGGGACCTCCCCTCTCTCTCACTCCTACTCCCGCCATGTGATATGCCTGCTCTCCCTTTGCCTTCCACCATGAATGGAAGCTTCTTGAGGCCTAATCAGAAGCTGAGCAGGTGCTGCTGCCATGCTTGTACAGCCTGTGGAACCATGAGCCAGTGAAACCTCTTTTCTTTACAAATCACCCAATCTCAGGTCTTTCTCCATAGCAACACAAAAATGGACTAACAGTTGGTCTAAGCTGGCTTCAAGCAGTCATAAAAAGGGGTGATCAGAACTATCATCCCAAATAGAGACTGTAAATGATAGAAACATTCTTTTTTTTTTTTCTTTTAGTTTCATGATGAATACAAAGACCAAAAAAAAATTGTATCTTAAACAATTAAGTAGATTGTGGGAACTGTGAAACCATCTTACTCTGGTTCCAGGGTATACTCTGGTAACAGAGCTAAAGACGTAGATCACACTGTGATCAACGCCATTACAGAGGCATTGACAAGTTTTATCTACTAAAGAGTGCTTGGTGGTTATTCAAAACATCCCTGGACTGGAGGATTTTCAGAAAAATGCCTCATCTGAGAAGTGTGAACTATGGAAGAAATGAAAACTTTTTTTTTAAGCCACTGAAACTCTTACAATCTACTTCACATTGAAGTGGGGAAGTATCTAAAAGAAGCAAGTCCAATGAGATGAAAGTACACCATAAAGACTGTTCATCTTTGCAGCAATTAGGATTTGTATGGTTATTTGTTTAATGTGGTTTAAGAACTTCTGGGTCTTAGTTTGAGATCAACCTGGGCAACATAGTGAGATCCTTTATTTATTTATTTATTTATTTATTTAGAGACAGAGTCTCTCTCTGTTGCCCAGGCTGGAATGCAGATCTCTGCTCACTGCAACCTCTACCTCCCAAGTTCAAGCGATTCTCCTGCCTCAGCCTCCTGAGTAGCTGGGATTACAGGATTACAGACATGTGCCACAACACCTGGCTAATTTTTATATTTTTAGTAGAAATGGGATTTCCTCGTGATGGCCAGGCTGGTCTCGAACTACTGACCTCAGGTGATCCACCCACTTCAGCCTCCCAAAGTGCTGGGATTATAGGCGTGAGTCACTATGCTTGGCCGTGATGCTGCCTTTAAAAAAGAAATAATAATAATAATAATAATAAAAGAACTACTAGGTCTTAATACAATCCTGAATATTGCATAAGAATATATAGTATATCTAAATATATCTATGATATATGTATCTATGATATATATATGTGTGTGTATATATATCTGATATATATCAGCCAGTAGCAGTGGCTCACACCTGTAATCCCAACACTTTGGGAGGCCAAGGCAGGCAGATCACTTGAGGTCAGGAGTTCACGACCAGCCTGGCCAACATGGTGAAACCCGTCTCTACTAAAAATACAAAAAATTAGCTGGGTGTGGTGGCAAGTGCCTGTAATCCCAGCTACTCGAGAGGCTGAGGCAGGAGAATCACTTGAACCCAGGAGGCAGAGGCTGCAGTGAGCTGAGATCGTACCATGGCATTCCTGCCTGGGTGACAGAGTAAGACTCCATTTCAAAAAAAAAAATATATATATATATATATATGATTTATTATTATTAACCAATCATCATTAATTTAAGGTTGTGTTTTTACACAAAAACACTTAAATGTGTGCAGCTATTTTCTTATATCAAAAAGACACTAAAAGTTTAAAATATCATAGCAAATATTAAAATTATTTTGTCCACATTGAAATATTGTGTATGCAAAATACCTTAATTATTAACCAGCTAACGTGTTATGATGCCAACACCTATTGAAAAATTAAAACCAACCACGCTTCTGGCATGAAAAAAATCATGTATTTCTTTATATTCATGTAGAATGTTGTTACTGAAACTTGTTTCACACTGTTTTTAAAACTTCAGAATATCTCTATCTGATTTACGGAGCGGGGAGAGTCAGGTCATTATGTCATGTATTTCTGTGTTATACCTATATAAAAGAAAAAAGGGTGGCTACACATTTGTATGAACCCTCAACTGGAAATGTCTGTAAAGCTTACTAATTTACGGGCACTTTTTGTTGTATATAGATTTCTACTTTTTTTTCTTTTCCTTTTTTTTTTTTTTTGTTTTTGAGATGGAAGTGTCACTCTGTTGCCCAGGCTGGAGTGCAGTGGCACAATCTTGGTTCACTGCAACCTCCGCCTCCCTGGCTCAGATGATCCTCTGGCCTCAGCCTCACAAGTAGCTGGGACCACAGGCACGCACCACCATGGCTAGTTAATTTTTTTGTTGTTTTTGGATTTTTGACAGAAACGGGTTTCACCATGTTCCTCAGGCTGGTCTCAAACTGCTGAGCTCAAGCAATCCACCCACCTTGGCCTCCCAAAGTGCTGGGATTACTGGTGTGAGCCAGTGTACCTGGCTGATTTCTACTATTTTCAGTTCTCCATCACTTAAGCTTCCCTTGAGTAAATTTACTAAATATATGTTTTTAAAATAGAGGGGTGGGAATAGCACAAGAGAGAGGAGTAATGAAAGACAAGATGAATAGCGTAAAAGAGAGGAGTAATGAAAAACAAGATGAATAGCGTAAAAGAGAGGAGTAATGAAAAACAAGGTCGGAACTTGAAGAAGCCAGTGCCAGATTACTGAGCAATCTTGGTATCATTCTAAGTAATGGGAAATCATGGAGGGTTCAGAGCCAGGCAGTGAAGGATGTGCCTGCTTCAGGGAGGCTAGCCCAGCAGCTATATATGAAATGAACTGTAGCAGAAGAGGCCACTTAGGATATCACTATGATTATGAGGGAGTTAATGAGAGCTTGAATTAGGGAAGTGGCAGTGAGACTAGAGATTATGAGATGATTATATGAGAACTCCTACAGGGAATCGACAACACTTGGTAACTGACCAAATGTGAAAGTAATAGAAAGAAAGATGATGCTGAGCTTTCAAGCCTGGGAACTAGGCAGGGTTATAAACAGAAATCAATTAATACAAGAATAAGAGCAGGCTTGGGAAAATAGAAATGAAATAAAATAAATGATATAGGTGGATTTTGATGTGCAAATGGAAAATCTACCTAAATACTGGGGGCATCTGGAAGTGAGGGATTCAGGCTTGGGAGAAAAGCCTGAATTCTCTTTAAGGAGAGAAGGAAATACAGTCGGCCCTCTGTAACCATGGTTTCTGCATCCGTGGATACAACCAACCACAGATTGAAAATATTCCGAAAAAAATGGGGTTGCATCTCTACTGAACACGTACCGACTTTTTTCCCTTGTCATTATTTCCTAAACAATAGGGTATAACAACTATTCACATAGTTGTTTAGGTATTATAAAGCATTTGCATCATATTAGGTATTATAAGTAATCTAGAGATAATTTTAAAGGTATACGGGAGGGTCAGGCATGGTGGCTCAGGACTGTAATCCCAGCACTTTGGGATGCTTAGGTGGGAGGATCAGTTGAGCCCAGGAGTTCAAGATCAGCCTGGGCAAAAGAGTGGGACCCCATCTCTGCAAAAAATTTAAAAAATTAGTCAGGTGTGGTGGCATGTGCCTTTAGTCCCAGCTACTCGGGAGGTTGAAGTGGGAGGACTGCTTGAGCCTGGGAGGGCGAGGCTGCAGTGAGCTGTGATCATGCCACTATACTCCAGCATGGTCAACAAAATGAGACTGTCTCAAAAATATATAGAATCTGCATAGGTTACATGCAAATACTGAGTCATTTTATATTAGGGACTTGAGTATCCATGGATTTTGGTATTAGTGAGAGTCTTGGAACCAATCTCCACTGTATACCGAGGGACGACTCTACTCGTTACTTCATGCTAGTTATCAATCAGTGTCCTTCCTAAATCCTCATATGAAGAATATGGTTCTTGAAGGAATGGAGTGCCAGGGAGCTACGAGTATAGATGCTCTGTCGGTACCAGATGTGAGAACATAATATACTTAAATACATAAAGAGAAGCCCATTTAGCCATGGTAGCCTTCAATAACTTACAGATTATGGTCTCTAGAGAAAAACAGCTAAAGGTATAATTTTAACGTTACTTTACCATGGGATATGATGATGACTTCCCCACTGATGAATCATTGTTCTTATGATTGATTAAAACACACTTGATCACAGGCAGATCTTGATTTGTAATAGTCCCAAATATCATTGCAGAAAAAACAACTGTAAAACAAAATAAAAATGATAATGTTGATACATGCACACCTTAAAAACAAAACATGTATTTATCTTGCAACCAAACAATAAAACAAAGTGTAATCAGGGGAAATCGGCCACTAGGAAAGTATGTAGGAAATTCGATTTTATGCAAGTTTAGTCTGCTTTAAATCAGGAGCAGAGGTACTTAGAGCAGGGTTGTCCAATAAAGCAGTCTGCAGGGATGGACATGTTCTATGCCTGTGCTGTCTAATACGGTAGCCACTAACTACATGTGGCTCTTAAGCTTTTGAAATGAGGCTAGTTTGACTGAGGAAATGATTATTTGTATAAATGATTTGTGTGCGTGTGTGTGTGTGCGTGTGCACCTTTTGTTGTATGTAGATTTCTTTTTTGTTGTTGTTGAGAAGGATTTTTTTTTTTTGAGAGGATTACAGGCCTGAGCCACCGCGCCCAGCCTAATACTCTTTTTTTCTTTTTTTGAGATCGAGTCTTGCTTTGTCGCCCAGGCTGGAGTGCAGTGGCGCGATCTCAGCTCACTGCAAGCTTCGCCTCCCGGATTCACGCCATTCTCCTGCCTTAGCTTCCCGAGTAGCTGGGACCACAGGCACCCGCCACCATGCCCTGCCAATCTTTTGTATTTTTTTAAGTAAAGACAGGGTTTCACCGTGTTGGCCAGGATGGTCTTTATCTCTTGACCTCGTGATCCGCCCGCCTCGGCCTCCCAAAGCGCTGGGATTACAGGCGTGAGCCACCACACCCGGCCTATTCTTTTTTTCTTTATGGATGCTTATAGAATCTTTTCTTCGAAACCACAGCACTAAAATTTTCAAAATTATGTGCCTTCTTGAGGGTCTATTTTCATCCATTGTGCTGGGTACACAGTGGGCCTTTTCAGTCTAGAAATTCATATCCCTCTGTTTGGCATTTTCTTGAATTATTTCTTTTGATTCTTTCTCTCCTCTTCACTTTCTGTTTGCCCATGATGTAGATATCTTCCCCAAATGACTGACAATCTTCAACCGTCTGTTCACATATAAGAATGAAGTGCTGAGTGTCTGTCCTAAGCTCTATGGTGTGGACCGTAGCCCAATCTCTGTAGGTGTATCTTTAGGTCTTTTCTCACGGGTTGGTCCTATTCCCAGAGAAGATTCTCTCTCTTGCCTGCTGCCTGTGTCCTGTGAGCTGGTCTTGGCAAGTTACACTATTGTGGGGTCCTGCAATGAAAAGCAGGCTGCTTCTCAGCTTTCTCAACCCCCAACTATAATTCAGCTTTCATCATCCGCTTCTTCTTTTTAATTTTTTTTTTTTTTTTTAAGAGACAGGATCTCGCCATGTTGCACACACTAACTTCAAACTCCTGGACTCAAGTGATCCTCCTGCCTTGGCCTCCCAAGTTGTTGGCTGATAGTGTGAGCCACTGCACCCAGCTTTATCTGCTTTAAAGCTCTCAAAGTTTTACTTTCTCCTTCTCCATCCTCTTTGTCTTTTATTTATTTATCATTTTTGGACTTTTTTTTTTTTTTGAGACAGAGTCTCGCTCTGTTGCCCAGGCTGGAGTGCAGTGGCGCGACCTCAGCTCACTGCAAGCTCTACCTCCCGGGTTCACACCATCCTCCTGCCTCAGCCTCTCAAGTAGCTGGGACTACAGGTGTCCGCCACCACACTCAGCTAATTTTTTTTTTGTATTTTTAGTAGAGACGGGGTTTTATCCTGGTCTCGATCTCCTGACCTCGTGATCCGCCCACCTTGACCTCTCAAAGTGCTGGGATTATAGGCGTTAGCCACCATGCCCGGCCTCCTCTTTGTCTTTATATGTTTATATCTTTGTTTCTTTGGGGGCATTAGGTATAATTGGCAATAAAAATTGCAGTGTACATCATATATTCACAGTGTACATCATGTAATTTTGATATATATATCGAAATATATGTGTATTTATATATGTGTGTGTATGTATACGTGTATATTAATATATATACATATATATGGGCTTCTCTGTATTTAAGTATATATACACATATAAGTATATATACATATACATACACACATTGTGAAATGAACACCCCAATCAAGCTAACTAACCTATCCGTCAGCTCGTATACTTATCTTTATCTTTTTCTTTTTTTGTGATGAAAACATTTAAGATCTACTCTCTGTCTTTTTTTTTTTTTTTTTAATTGAGACAGAGTCTTGATCTGTTACCGAGGCTGGAGTGCAGTGGTGCGATCACGGCTCACTGCAACCTCTGCCTCCGGGGTTCAAGTGATTCTCCTGCCTCAGCCTCCCAAATAGCTGGGATTACGGGGGTGCACCATTGTGCCCAGCTAATTTTTGTGTTTTTAGTAGAGACTGCGTTCACCATGTTGCCCAGGCTAGTCTCAAGCTCCTGGCCTTAAGTGATTCAGCTGCCTTGGCCTCCCAAAGTGCTGGGATTCCAGGCGTGAACCACTGCACCTGGCCAAGATCTATTCTCTTAACAAACATGCTTATCTCTTTAAAAGCATTTTTTGGCTGGGCATGGTGGCTCATGTCTGTAATCCCAGCACTTTGGGAGGCTGAGGTGGATGGATTGCTTGAGGCCAGGAGTTTGAGACCAGCCTGGGCAACCCAGTAAAATCATGTCTCTAAAAAATTTTTTTAATTAACTGGGCATAGTGGTGTGTGCCTCTAGTCCCAGCCCAGCTACTCAAAAGGCTGAGGTGGGAGAGGATCACTCAGGCATGGAATGTGGAGGCTGCAGTGAGATGGGATTGCACCATTGCACTTCAGCCCCTGGGTGACAGAGTGAGACCTCATCTCTGGAAAAAAAAAAAAGTATTTTTTACTGTCACTTGAGTGGTCTATAGATAACGACAGGAGGTAATATATGTGTTCAGCCATCTTTGTAACCTTATAATCTGAGACAGTCTCAGAAAGTAAGAACTTTTCCTGCTCCACTTTGTAATGTTTTCTCCCTAGTCTTTAAAAAATAATAATTTAAAAATATTTTATAAGTATAATTAACTTACAATAAATTGTACACATTAAAAGTATACAATTCAGTAAATTCACACATATCTACAAAACCAACACCACAATCGAAATAGTGAATTTAAGGCTGGGCATGCTGCTCACACCTGTAATCCCAGCACTTTGGGAGGCCAAGGTGGGGGGATCACTTGAGACCAGGACTTAGAGACCAGGCTGAGAGACAGAGTGAAACCCCATCTCTACAAAAATTCGTTTTTAAAACATTAGCCAGCCGGGCGCGGTGGCTCAAGCCTGTAATCCCAGCACTTTGGGAGGCCGAGGTGGGTGGATCACGAGGTCAGGAGATCGAGACCATCCTGGCTAACACGGTGAAACCCCGTCTCTACTAAAAATACAAAAAAATTAGCCGGGCGTGGTGGCGGGCGCCTGTAGTCCCAGCTACTCGAGAGGCTGAGGCAGGAGAATGGCGTGAACCCAGGAGGCGGAGCTTGCAGTGAGCCGAGATAGTGCCACTGCATTCCAGCCTGGGCGACAGAGCAAGACTCTGCCTCAAAAAAAAAAAAAAAAAAAAAAAAAAAACACATTAGCCAAGTGTGGTGGCACGAGCCTGTAGTCTCAGCTACATGGGAGGCTGAAGTGGGAGGATAGATTGAGGCCAGGAGTTTGAAGCTGCAGTGAGCTATGATCACACCTGTGCATTCCAGCCTGGACAAAAGAGACAGACCCTGCCTCTAAAAAAGAAAAAAAAATTTTTAAAGATAGTAAAGTGACCTATCACTCCCAAAAGTTTCCTTATGGAGCTGTGACATCACGCCCTCCTACCAACCCCATCCCCCCACACCCAAGCCACCTCTGATCTATTTTCTGTCACTATAGTTTGAATTTTCTAAAATTTCACACAAATGGAATCACAGTATGAACTGTTTTTTTATAGGGTGGGTGGTCGGGCTTCTTTCACTCTGCATTTTTTTGATATTTGTCCATACTGTAGTAGATATTAGTAGTTCATTCCTTTTAATTACCAAGTAGTCATTTGTTATATAGATATATAACACAATTTGTTTTCATCTATTTATCTGTGGACACACATTTGGGCTGTTTCCACTTTTGCTCTTACTAATAAAGCTGTTATTTATATAAAAGTCTTAATATGGATATACACTTTCATTTCTCTTGGGTAAATACTAAGGAATTGAAGGCCTAGGTTATAGGGTCGGTGTATTTGTAACTTTTTTTTTTTTTTTTTTTTTTTTTAAGTCAGAGTCTTGCTCTGTCGCCCAGGCTGGAGTGCAGTGGCCGGATCTCAGCTCACTGCAAGCTTCGCCTCCCGGGTTCACGCCATTCTCCTGCCTCAGCCTCCTGAGTACCTGGGACTACAGGCGCCCGCCACCTCGCCCAGCTAGTTTTTTGCATTTTTTTAGTAGAGACGGGGTTTCACCGTGTTAGCCAGGATGGTCTCGATCTCCTGACCTCGTGATCCACCCGTCTCGGCCTCCCAAAGTGTTGGGATTACAGGCTTGAGCACTGCACCCTGCCTGAATTTGTAACTTTTTAAGAAAGTGTCCACTTGTTTTCCAAAGAGGTTAGAGCTTTATGTTCCCACTCGCAGAGTACGGAATTCCAGTTGCGTCACATCCTTGCTAACATTTGGTATGATGAGACTTTAAAATTTTGGCCTTTCTAATAAGTGCGTTGTATCTCATTGTGTTTTTATTTATTTTTATTTTTTATTTTTTGAGACAGGGTCTCACTCTGTCACTCAGGTTGGAGTAGAGTGGCGTGATCACAGCTGTCTGCAGCTTTGACCTCCTGGGCTCAAGCCATCCTCCCACCTTAGCTTCCCGAGTAGCTGGGACAACCGGTGTGCACCACCATACCTGGCTAATTTTTGTATTTTTGTAATTTTTGTATTTTTTGCCCAGGCTGGTCTCAAACTCCGAGGCTTGAGTCATCTGCCCACCTTGGGCTCCTCAAGTGCTGGGATTACGGGTGTGAGCCACTGCACCCAGCCCTCATTGTGGTTTTAATTTGCA